TGAAATCTTCCAATGAGCCCAAATTTTTCATGCAAATTTTTTGTGCATAATTTTTCATAATTGTTTCAGAGTTTCTTCAATTGTACTTTTTCAAATAGCAAGAAAATCGCTTGAAATTTTGTACGTTTAATGGTACGTATTTTTGTAGTTAATAAAATTCCCGAAGCCTTTTGCCTCTTTACACCAGGCGGACTACAATTCAAAGTACAGTGTGACCAAATATAAACTGAACAGTTCTTTAAATCTACTGCACATGGGAAAATTAAAGCAACTAATTTGAAAGTGTCCTTAGTTCCCTACCAGTGATTGAAAACGTTGATTTCAGTATAATTTCTCAAAAAAGATTCTTAAATTTTTCTTCACATTAGTATAGATGGTATTCTACCCGGTATTTACCCAATGTATGGGTAAATTGGTATATTCCTTTTTTTCTATCTTTTTGGGGTATTTATAAAAAGTTTTTTACATTAAATTTTTTCATAAACTGATTGACAATCAGTTCATAAATGTTTTCAAATATTTTTTTTACATTTCATTTGTTTTGATAATAATAAAAATTAACAAAATGCAATTAAAAAAGCAAAATAATTACCAAAAAATGCGTCCAAATGCATTACGTTGAATACAAATTGTAGAGAATGAATATATCAGTGATGCCTGTAGTTACATATATATGTACACTGAAAAAAATCCATGCCTAATATATACGAAAAATATCGTACATTGTACGAATCGTTCGTTGTTTCGCACCACGAAATTCTTTCGTAATATATACGAAATATAAAATAATCTTGGAAAAATGAATTTACATAAATTGAAAAAGTGAATTTTTAATAAATATGGTAAAATTTACGAAAGATTAATTTATGCAAACATTTTTGTTAATTTTAAAATAATTTTTCTACTTTTAGTTCAAAATTATTCTCCACACGAATTTTATTTTTTTTATGAAAATAATTCTTGAATAATTTCTTAAATTTTATAAAATGTTGTAGTTTTATTTAATGATAATATAATTAATATCATTATGTTTAATTTCGCTAAAATTTAAGAAAAAAATATTACGAAAGGTTTTCGTACTTTCGTAAAAATAGAAAAGGGTTTTATTAAATAATATTTCGTATTATACACGAAATATTTGTAAATATTACGAAAAAGAAGTTACGAAATTTTTTTTCGTAAAGTTGAGCATGGATTATTTTCAGTGTAGTGCATCCATAAATATTAATCATTTTAGGGAAGCTCTACATGAGAAAAATACCTGAAATACCACCTACCAACTGGTGGAAAAGCTTAAAAGAGTTTTATAGCACGGAATTGGAATCTCTTAAAAAAATGTCTACAAAAGAACACATACATATTTATCACTTTTATCACATTTACAGATGCAGCATCCACTTTATATAATTTAATAATAAACTAATTAATTTTTACTTTTTACAATCCGCGTGTTTAAAAAATTTTGTACAACTTAGTTTATACCCAGCTTTTTTGTAAACACCTGGGTATTTACCCATTTTTACCCAATTTATCCATTTTACTGGGTATTTACCAATTTGGTTTTTACCCTTTTTCCTAGATTGACAATATTTGTTATGATTGTTCGCAACAAACAAACTCTTTTAAAAACTAATTTATGATAAACAAAATTAAAATAAATCTAATTACAAATAATTGTTTAATATTCGTGTGTTATTAATTTATGTATGTCTTTCTAAAAATGCAAAACTTGCAAAATTTTCGTTTTCTTTGGTTTGTTTACATATTCATTACTCAACCATATGTTGTGAACATATGTTTGATATTTTTTACTGGGGAAAAATATCCAGAATCCAGTAACAATTGTTGCAAATTATTACAAATTGTTACAAATTATCGAGTACGCGAACAGACCTAATATTGTGATAAACAAAACTACTTATTAGTTTGAAAGAAATACTTACTTTCAGAAACCAAATCAGTAATAGCAGTGTTATATTTTTATCTCTCTCTTGTCGTCGAGTCGCTATACAACTTGATAACATAAAATTATGATAAAAACAGACGAGTTTCTGATGAATATTTTTGCTGGGAAGATTGTAAATTAAAAAATGTTATTAATGTTGCATTATTCATACGTTTACGGAAAAGACGTTGTTTTTGTTAATAATGTAAAAAAATGTGTATGTTTTAATATTATTTTACATTTATACATATGTAAGTATGCAAAGCACTAAAATTCATTCTATAATTATATTTTGGAAATTGAGCTATATTTTAAGGAATTAACAATCCTTCAACCTCATTCCCTTTGATTTAATCCCTGTAATTTATTCTTAAAGCCTTGGATGTAGTTGAATGAATTCTCACGGAAGTAAATGGTATGAAATTGAAGAGTTGAAATAGAAAAATGAGTTGTATAACAAGAGAAATAAATTAAATAGTATTACGAATACAAAAATTTCTCAGAAATCCTACTTTTTAATCTCTCGGATTCCGTTTTTATTTAAAATCGTTGAAAATTTGAAAATAACTACAAACTTAACCGGCTTAGGGCGGGTTTCTTACTACTCAGTTAAACTAGGTTTAACTTGCTGTTTGATTAAACTCGGAACAAATTTAGGCGAACTTTAACCGATGATTGTGTTTTTCAGTTATGGATTTAAGTTCAGTTAACTTTGTTAGTATTGCCAACTTTTCACTCAAAAACATAAACAATAAACAGCTGGTTTTTGCAAATAATACTTTTGTAAAATTAATAATTTTAGAAAAATGTTAAATAAACATTTAAAACAATAATAAATAAAACAAAACAAATCAGAAAATTGCAATTTACTTAAAATATTAAGTTTTTGTTCTTCCGAAATCATTGTTTTATTGTTTTTGTTAATTGTGTCTTCTCACTTATAACTTAAGTTTAATTGGTCAATAACACTCAGTTAAACTAAGATAATAAGTAACGTTACTGTTTACTGAAAAACACATAACATATATTAAACTAGGTTTAAATAAAGGATGTAGATTATCATTATCTGAAAAACCCGCCTTTAGATCGATTTTAAGTCGCCGTCGACTTTTTCAGTGTTAGCCGCCACAGTCGTTAATATTTGTCGGCGCAGGACTCTGTGCAGTGTCGCCAGATTTAAGGATTTTCGTGGGGAGAGATTTGAAGATTTTCGTAAAATTTGGGAATTTTTTATAATTTTTGCGCTTTTTTTGGGGATTATTATATTTTTTATAAATATTAATAATTATATAAATATTATTATTATACTATAAATATGAATAATAATATAAATATTATAATTATACTAAAATATTTCAAACAGGATTCGCACCTCACACTCTCCGATTTGGAGAAATTTTGGCACACATGCTCTTTGAATAAATACAAAGATCTAAAGAATTTTCAAAATCGTAAATTTTTTCTCAAAGGCATGAAGTTTAATATCGTATAATTTCTAAATAAATTGTTCGATTATATTAATCTTGGTCCCTATTTTCACTCGTATTTGGATTTTTTCCAGTCCAAAAAGTAATGTACAATAAAAAATATAATAGAAATTCCCAAGGATATGAAAGGATGAAATTTTTAAAGGATATTATTTAAAATTTTTCGTCCTGAAAAATAAAAACAAAAATTATATTTGATTTCCGAAGATTGTCCTTTCTCATTGACTAAAACTATTAGTAAATAAATTTAAATAAATTTGTATGTCCTTAAACTTTGAAGTTCTTTAAAAAGGAAAAACTATAAACTGAAAACACAGTTTCACTTCAATTACCTCTAGTATCATATTCTCGTTCAATTTCAATAACAAATCTAAAATTGTACCACGGTGTAACAATAATTTTTTTAAGAATTGCCAAACTAGAAACATAACCATTAATTTAAAACCCAGAATAATAAAATCGGATAATTAGTTTAGAAAATATGCGATACTAAACTTCATTCCTCAAAAATATAAATTTTGGACGTCGATCCAAATAATTCAATTTCATATTTAAAATCAAAAAAATCCATCCATAAATAACGGAGATATGAGCAAAAATCAGAGACAACCTGTGAATATTTCATCAAAAAAAGATAATTTGTATGCTTGACAAAGAAGCAAACGCAACTTTGCTTATTGTAAAAAAACATATGTTTGGATGTCTGTTGGTTTTATTGCTTTGCGTATTTTTTTTTGACCGATCCTCATGAAACTTGTTTTAAAGTTATATAAGAATTGTTTATGTCGAATTTCGTTGTATTTTTTATACAGTCAAACTCGTTTATAACGAACTCCGCGGGACCAGTCAAATTTGGTCGTTATAAGCGAAGTTCGTAATAACACAGGTGAAGTTTTTGTAGTTCCAAAAATTAAGTGGCATTTTACGAAATTTTAAGAATATGATTTATAAATTTATTAAAATTCTTTACAAAAAAACACCATTAATTTTATTTGTTCATATTTTTCTTAACAAATTTAAGTTTTTTTCAACAAAGCATATCTTGTTTTGATTTCAACACATAATTTTGAAGTTCGTTATAAAAAGGGAAAATTGTATGAAATTGTACTTGAGGGACTAAAAAAGTAGTGCGTTTTATACGAGGATTCGTAATAACAGAGTTCGTTATAAGAGATGTTTTCTGTATGAAAATAGTTACCAAAATAGCGGGACTTCAAAACTTGTTCGTAATAACCGAGAATTCGTTAAAATCGAGTTCGTTATAAGCGAGTTTGACTGTAGTATACTTTCTAGCTACCAAATTGACCTAAATTAAATCACGATTGCTGCTTAATTAATATATGCTGTTTTAATTGTATTCCGGTGCCATATTCGAAATCAAATTCCGATATTGCGCCTCTTAAATACCAAACAGTGCCTATCAATGGAAAATATTTGTGTCGGACGGACATGAGGGTTTTTCATGAACAAATTTTGGGGAAAACCGTGGGGAATTCAATTTAAAAATGGGGATTTTTGGGGGCATCAAGCTTAAGATTGGGGACATAAGTCAACATTTTTCTGGCAACACTGGTTCTGTCACTTATAGCACAAAGTATACTTATAGCGCAGTGTAAAGTTGTGGTGAAGTTCTTATCTGTCTAGACCCCAGAAAAATAATTCTGTTTAGGTGACGAAAGTTATAATTAAAGCAACATGTTCGATCCTAGAAAGTATGGCCTTAGGCCAGATTTTCAACTAACGAAGTTTTCTACGTTACGAGGGTGAGGTTGTAAAATCCCCCAAGATACTTTGCTAAAGTATCTTCAGGGAACAGAAATAATACAATCGACCAACTTACAAGGAAAAGTAAATAATGAAGAAGATTATATTGGTGAGCAAGATAATAATATAAAAGTTAATTATATAATAAGACCCAATATGTATCGTTATATTTTAGGTTCAGGAATGGATTGCGCAGTAGTGCCCCTAAAAAAATATAAAAATATTTCACTTATACAAACGGTCGACTTTTTTTACCCATTAGTAGATGATCCCCATGTAATGGGGAAAATCGCATTAGCCAATGTAGTTAGTGATGTTTACGCCGTAGGCGTTACTGATATTGACAAACTTAACCTTATTATGACAGCTCCCGAAGAATTAAAAGAAGAGGAAAGAAATATAATAATGCCAATGATTGCTACCGGCTTTCAAGAATCTGCAAAATTAGCTGGATGCAAGGTTCATGTACAAAATATTACTGTAAATCCATGGTGTATAATTGGTGGGATTGCAACGGCTGTAGTCAAAAAAGAAGATGTCATCATGTATGTATAAACATTTTACTATCTAGTCAATTTTATTGTAAAATAACTGGTTTTTGGCATTTCAAAATAGTAGCTGTTTTGTTTTATAAAATTGACAATACCTACGTAATCTTATTTTTAGATGTTATTAGGATGTCGTTTGTACAGTTGGGAACTAAAATACATTGGGTATAAGTCTCCAATTTTGAAAAAGTTTACCTTTAATTCTATAATTTTTCAAAAATAAATCATTTATGATATGTCTTTTGGTCAACAAATTTTTAGTTTTGGAGTTATAGATCTTTTAAGTTTTTATATATATGTATATCCAATATTTTCCCTATTCATGAACCGACAGGAATAATAAATATATATCCGTTATTTCGGTGGATTTGTGAAGTAACGGCACTTTTATCAAAACACTATAAAAATATACTTTTTGTGGGAATAAAATGACAATATGCACCAATTTAATAATGCAATGCACGGCACTATTCAAAACAAATGAGTGTAACGAAAAATGATGCTTATATTGCTTGTCTTCTGTAAATGTCAACGAATTCTCTCAAACGCAACGAATACTAAATGATTGGTATGCTGATTGAATAAGTTGTAAGAACAAATTAACTTAACAATTTTACCATGTTTTTATTTATGGAATGAAGGTTAGACTTTCCGAAATTCATATAAATTTCGCAAACGTTTGCTGATTGTTTTGCTCATTATAAAGACTTTATTGAGTAAATTTAAAAGGTTTTGTTCATTCATATGTGGTTAACCGAAAAATTGGTTTTTAATGCATATTTTGTTTTTCGTGAAACGATTTTTTGAAAATATTGATTTTCGGTTAACTTGATTATCCCTTTTTTGTGGATCGTTTAACCGTTTTAAAATAGGTATTTGTAATTTTTAGTATAAAATTGTATGTTTTGTTTGTTTTTTTTATTGCAATGAGTATTAGGCTTCAGTCAGAAAACATTACAGAAAACGATTAAAGCATTATGACATTTATATAAGAATGTTAATATAATTTTTCTTGTTTATGAATATAATCCTAAACTTTTTGCATAAATGTTAAAAATATTTTATGCGTATTAAATGCAGATATAAAATAAAAAAATAAAAAAAAACAGGTAGTAAAACCAGTGTGATACGCCATGAGTATATTTTAAAAATTATTTATTTTCCATAGAGAAACTTTTATGTTGAATATTTATTAATAGCGAAACCATTTTTTGTCAGTAGGCCACGGAAAAATCGTTCTTCCGCCGGACTGTTGTATGTGGAACAAACATTCTGCAGAAATATTTCTTGTCATTATCTATTTAAATAGGTTTAAATGTATCCAGCAATTTTCTAGATGATTTGATGAAATTTTTATTTTTTATCACCAGGACGAAGCTTATTATGGTTGAAATCTATCAGAATAACACTTTGGGGCTCATAATATGTTAACTATTCTAGTATTCCTACAAAAATCAATATAACTATACATATTTTGTACTATCCTAAATAATTATTCCGATTTTAGTAATGATTTCTTGGATGCATGTACCAGATATATATAAACTAAATTAGTTTAATTGATGTTAATCTAACTAAATATTATTTTCACATTGTCCATGGATGAGTTGATTTAATATGTTTAACGGTTTTTTCATACTCGGTTAACCGACAAACCGGTTTTCTAGAAATAGTCAATTTTTGGTTAACCGACAAACCGGTTTCTCCAAAAGTTGTTTTTTTTATAAACTCTAAAGGGGGTTTTAAATTACAATACTTTGTAATAATGTCAGAGTTTCGTTATCTTTAATACAAAATCGAATTTGTTGTCAAACTGTATTGAACAATTTTCATGTATTATGAAACCTATTTTTTTGGTTTATTTTCAATTTCAAATGGATTATAACCAGGATTATAACTGTAAATAACAGTTATTCTGAAATTTTTAACAAAAAAATCTCTATATTGGTGTCATCGTAGACCTATACTATTATATACCAATATACTCGTATTGAAGTACTTTTTCAGAACATATGGTGATTTTAAAACACGATCTTAGCTCCACAAATAACAGTTATTTTTTGACGGAAAAATAAAAGTCTGATTGAAACAGTTAAAAAATGAGTTTTATTTTTCCGTCATAAAATAACAATTATTTGAGGAGTTTTATTTTTCCCATCAGAAAATAAAACTCATTTAGGGAGTTTTGTTTTAACAATCACAAAATTAAACAATGTTTTTATACATATGTATATTTTTTCAGTCTCTTATTTTATTGAGTATATCTGACCAAGTCCATTAAATACTTGATTTGTGCCGACGTTGAAAACATATGGATCAAAAACGGCAAATGGTAATTTTTTCTTTTGTGACTGAACATAAGCTTTTTTAATTTCTTCGCAAGGCATTATTATGGAAATTGAATTTTATTTTCTGACGGAAAAAATAAAACTCCTCAAATAATAGCTTTGTTCCAGAACTTTTCTGGCTAAAGAGAATTAATGAATTTTCTCTTCGTACTTATAAAAAGTACGGGAACAGAAAAAACAAAATTTCTCTTTCAATAAATTTGTATTGAAGTTTATTCATAAAAATTTCTATTGAAATTAAAATAAAATTGAAAAACTACAATCACACATACTTTTTTTTATTAAAACAAATCAAAAATATCAAACATTTTTTGTTTTCAATGTATTTTTTTAAACAAATAATTTATTTGACAATTTTTTTTTCTATTTGCCAGGAAAAAATTTTCTGGCTAAAACCTGAAAGTTCTGGCAAAGAGAAAATAATTTTAATTGCTCAAATTTGTTCTCTTTTACAATTTCTGGTAAAAACTTGCAAACTTGACAAGTAAAGGAACAAAGCTAATTTTTATTTTATGACGGAAAAATAAAACTCTTTTTTTAAAATTTCATTTGAATTTTTATTTTTAGGTTGAAAAATAACTTTTTCAGATGGATTTTTATTTTTAAAGTCACAAAATAACTGTTATAAATTAACTTTTTTGATATAACTTATAACTGTTACGGTCCTTGATTATAGCGAATATTATGATGTAAAATAAAAGAAAGTTAATTTACAAATTAAAATCCAAAAGAAAACTATAAATAAATTGTGTATTTTGTAAAGAAATATGTTAAAAAAAGTTTTTAAAAGCTATATTTCAAACTACAAAATGTTTTAGTTTTTCAGACTACAATACATATTCAAATAATACTTTGTATTAATACAAAATAACATAATGTAAAGTACCTTTAAAGCTGCCTACACACTATGAGAGAAGTCGTTAGATTTTTATTTCATACTGCCAAAACAAAATAAAATTAAAATTGGTATGATTATCAAAAAAATCAAATAAAAAAATATTTTGTTTTACACTATCAGATTTGAAATAAAATTAAACTTCAATTTGAAAAAAATTCAATGAAAAAACGTAAATTTTTATTTTGTTTCTGTTTTTATTTGAAATTTGTTTCTGTTTTTATGTTTTTCTTTGTTTAAATAAAAATAAAACTCAAATAAAACAAAGATATCCAATCGTTTTGAAATTTTTCCAAAAATTTTTAAAAATTATTGGATTTTCAATTTTCAATCCATATTTTCAGTAGGTTAGGTTAGGTTTTTCAGACTGCTTACTAACACGAGTAAGTCTATACTTGGGTCCTATTTGGTCCCTTTGTAACGTCTGTAAAGAGAAAAGTTAAGGGAAAACATTTGGAAGGGGAAGAGTAGTGATAAAGAAAGTAGTGAAGAAACAGATATAGAAAGTAGAATGATGAGTATAGAATAGCGAAGAAGTTAAGACTCTGTTACCAGAAAAATCATAGTGTGTATTTAGTTACACACCCACTTCGACAATTTCAAGAATGCTAGTATACACTCAGGTTGAATAGCTGACAGATCAGATAGATCAGAAAAGTGAGACGAACCCAGCGCCTGATGACGGAGCGATTCCAGGGCCGGGCAGTTACACAGAAAATGAGTAATAGTTTCCTCTTCTTCTTCATTTTGACAGCTCCTACAAAAGTCATTATATGGAATACCAATACGTCTAGCGTGGTTTCCAAACTTTGAATGACCTGTAAGAACTGATAACAAAGCGCTCAGATATATTCTGTTTAGCCCTAAAATGTAGGATGTTTTATGAGAATCCATACGAGGCCACAGTAGCCTAGCGATCGAGCAAGTGTGCTCCTGAGACCATCGCTCCTGGGCTGAAATGAAGCAGTAATCAAGTATTTGCTTCTTGATGACCGCTAAGGGGACACCACAGAACTGGTCAATATCCAGTATGGTCATCCTCGTGCCGGCTTTTGCCAGAATGTCAGCAGTATTATTGCCAATTGTTTCCCCGTGTCCTTTGACCCAAATAAGGGTAATTCTTGAATATCTCGCCATCTCGTTTAGAGACGCCCGGCATTCTTGGACAAGTTTTGATGTAGAATACACACCTATCAGGGATTTGATAGCGGCTTGACTGTCAGTATAAATTCTGATATCTCTGTTGGATATCCGATAGTACCTAAGCCAATTAGAAGCCCTTTTTATAGCTGAGATTTCAGCCTGCAAAATAGTACATTCGTCGTTGAGTCGGAAAGAGATTTTCGTCCCGAATTCTTCAATGAATATGCCCCCGCCGACACCTTTAGTTGTTTTTGAGCCATCTGTATATACATTAAAGCTTCCAACACTTTCAGGTGCTAATTCATTATAATCGCAGATTAAACTATACCGGAAGTTCCTCGATATGCACGGTTCCGGAATATGGTAGTCAATAGCTTGATGTAGGTTTGGTACAAGATCTACAATCTTTGCATGACCACTGGAACCGTAGTTCCATCTATTCGTAATACTTAGTCTGGCTGCAGTATTCATTGCCAGTTGTTTAGCAAGAAGATCCACAGGCAGCCAGTTCAGCATGGCAAACAACGCTTTACTGGGCGTAGTCCTAAGAGCGCTCATTCGAACAAGCCAGCAGTTTTATATGACCCTGGAACCAGCCAGCGTCATCATTT